AAGCAAGTTTCAATTTGAAAATTTCCTACCACGAAAGTAACATATAAAAATGTTGTTTTCTCTTCTGTTCCAAAAAAAAAAAAGTTGTTTTCTCTTAGCCAAAGTTAAGGTTGTCTTGTCTTAAGATAGGTGCTGACTAACCATTGCCCCTACTTCAGACAGACTTGAAACAGTCATTGACCCTACTTCACGCAGGCTTGAAACAGTCATTGACCCTACTTCACGCAGACTTGAAATCTCTATGGAAATTTATTTGTTTTGCTCGGATTGACAGTGACCAGGTTGGAGAGACATTTGCCCATTGCGAAGATAATTAGTGGTACCTTACATGTTTAATATTTTTTTAAATTAAAAAAATTAATTTATTAATTTTATAAACCTTCACGCATTTAAGTCACTTATCATTTTTTTTCCTTTCGGGATTCTCATCATTCACCGTTCACACTCCCTTCAAAATTTCATTTTAAATTTAAATTTTTAAATTTTATATTCAATTTTTACCTTTTAATACATATTTATTTGTTATGGGTATAACATTATATAAGTATATTCATTATAAGTTTACATTATATTTATGAAAAAAATATATATCAATTTTAATTCTTAAAAATAATTGAAATTTTAATTTTATATTAGATCAATTTATTTAATTAAAATTCAATTCAAATTTAAAAAATTATCATATTAAATATTAAGATTAAGATTTAAAAATTGATTATATTATAATATATAATGATTTTTTTAATTTAAATATTAATATTTAATATATAAAATTTTAATTTTTAAATATAAATAAGATTTTAATTTTTTCAAAAGTTAAAATTAATAGACACTAATTTTTGTATTTATTATGTTATTTGCTCTTATATCACTTTTTAAAATTATCTAATATGATAAAAAAATTAATAGTTCATAACATATTTTTTTTCTTTGATAAAATAACCCATAAGATGTTCTAACATATCTTAGAACCAAAACACTAATACTTTAATTTCATAAACATATTTAAACCACTTATTATTCTCTTAATTTTCCCAAGGGAGACTCTTATTCTTCTATGGCTAATGAGAACAACTTACATCAAAGTCAAGATACTACTGGAATACAGAAACACGACCCAAACTCGTGGTCAACACGATATTTGATTATGTCGTTATTTTTTTTTTCTTTTTGAAAATAGGTAATGGATGATTATGTTGTTATTGGCATTTATGTGCTCGGGTCCATCGTCACCTTCTCACCTCCCTCAGCGCTCAAGCGCCTCCATCTTTGACTGAAATTGAAATCTCATTATAAGAAGAAAATGGCGCTACATTGCTTCAAGCCAAAAAAACAAAAGAACAAAAATGGAGAAAAAATGGGTTGTAGCAAATATGTTTACTACACACTCAATACAACAAACTTTCTAAGATTCCTCCCAATTCAGTTATTAAAATGTAATATAAATATAATTTATTTAAAATATAATTGATTTAATTAATTCTTACATCTTGTATTTATAATTAGCTAATATATAATATAAATATAACTAATTTAAAATGTAATTAATTTAATCAATTCTTACATCTTGTATTTATGATTGTATTTTAAGTTTATGTCGTTATTGGCATTTATGTGCTCGGGTCCATCGTCACCTTCTCACCTCCCTCAGCGCTCAAGCGTCTCCATCTTTGACTGAAATTGAAATCCCATTATAAGAAGAAAATGGCGCTACATTGCTTCAAGCCAAAAAACAAAAGAACAAAAATGGAGAAAAAATGGGTTGGAGCAAGTATGTTTACTACACACTCAATAAAACAAATTTTCTAAGACTCCTCCCAATTCAGCTATTAAAATATAATATAAATATAGTTTATTTAAAATATAATTGATTTAACCAATTCTTGCATCTTGTATTTATAATTGCATCTTTAAGTTTGTCTGCATTTAATTTTAGAGTAAAAAATAATAATTTTTAATAAATATATTATGCAATGTATTAAACCTAAGTCTATATTAATTATTGTCCAATTAACAATAACTTGTGTTGGTAGGCATACATCAAGTTGTGAGAGTTTTGTCAAGAAACTTTTACTATTATGCCCACTTATTTCTTACTACGTAAACTTTTTTTTGTATAAATAGCCATCAATGCGAGCATATGCATTCTATCCCCAAGGCATTTAGAATCTAGTTGATATTATGGCATCACCCTTGTTCATCCTCCTGATACTTCAGTCTTTCCTTGTTTCTACTTCTATTTCTTCCACTGTTTCGTTCTCTCTTAATCAAACAGAAACTCTTTTCAAATGGAAAACAAGTCTTGACAACAAAAGCCAAAGCTTCCTCTCGTCTTGGGTTGGGGATAGTCCTTGCAAATGGGTTGGGATTGCTTGTAATAAAGCTGAAAGCATCATCAACATAAACCTTCATGATTATGGTCTCAAAGGTACAATTCATGGCCTTAACTTCTTTGCCTTCCCTGACCTAATGCAGCTTGATCTTAGCAATAATTCACTTCATGGGGAAATTCCTTCCCACATTGTTAACTTGTCCAAACTCACTTATCTTGATTTGTCTTATAATCACTTTTTTGGGAACATTCCTTTTGAGGTAGGATTGCTTAAATCTCTCACTAAACTTGATTTGTCTAATAACAGTTTCTCTGGCTCAATCCCTAGTTCTATAAGAAACTTGAGCAACCTATCCATTCTTTATCTCTATGATAATATGCTTTCTAAGTCAATACCTTCTGAGGTAGGATTGCTTAAATCTCTCACTGAACTTGATTTATCTAACAACAATTTCTCTGGCTCAATCCCTACTTCAATAGGAAACTTGAGCAACCTATCTTCTCTTTCTCTCTTTTATAACATGTTTTATGACTCAATACCTTCTGAGATAGGATTGCTTAAATCTCTTACTACACTTTATTTGTTTAATAATAGTTTGTCTGGCTCAATTCCCATTTCAATTGGAAACCTAACAAGGATTCTTCAGTTAGACCTTACAAGTAACTATTTATCTGGCCCTATTCCTTTGGAAATGAATAACCTTATTCTTCTTAAAGATTTACATTTGTGTAATAACAAACTCAATGGCCATTTACCTGAGAATATTTGCCTTGGGGGATTTCTCACAAACTTTTCAGCAATAAACAATCATTTGACGGGTCCCATCCCGAAGAGTTTCAAAAACTGCTCTAGTTTATTTAGAGTACGGCTTGAAGGGAACCAACTTGAAGGGAATATAACAGATGCTTTTGGGATATATCCCAAGTTGGATTATATTGATTTGAGCAATAACAAGTTGTATGGTAAACTTTCTCCAACTTGGGGTCTATGTCATAACCTTACAAACTTGAAGATTTCCAACAATAACATCTCTGGTAAAATACCTCTTGAGCTAGCTCAAGCCACTCAATTACAACGTCTTGATCTCTCTTCAAATCAACTAAATGGGGAGATTCCTAAGGAATTAGGCAACTTGACTGCATTAGTTTATCTCCTGCTAAATGATAACCAACTCTTTGGTAGAATCCCATTAGAGATAGGACAGCTACTCAATTTGCAACAACTCAATTTGGCAGCAAACAATTTGGATGGACCAATTCCAAAACAACTTGGAAAGTGCTTCAGGTTATGGAGCTTGAACTTGAGCAAGAATCAACTTGGGGAAAATATTCCATTTGAAATAAAAAACATATTTGCCCTTCAAACTCTTGACTTGAGTTGGAATATTCTAATGGGAGAGATTCCACTAGAGCTTGGAGGATCTCAAAGGTTAGAAACATTGAATCTTTCTCACAACATGCTTTCTGGATTCATACCTTCTTCCTTTAATGAAATGCTAAGCTTGACAAATGTCAACATATCTTACAACCAGTTGGAGGGCCCAATCCCCCGTATCAAAGCCTTTCTTGATGCCCCATTTGATGCTCTTGAAAACAATAAAGGCCTTTGTGGCAATGCCTCTGGCCTAATGCCTTGTCCATCCAAAAGTCAAAAGAAAAGTTCAAGAGGACTTGTGATTTTGATTGTTATACCTGTTTTGGGTGGTTTGCTTCTACTATTTATCTTGGTGAAGTATTTACTTCTATTTTGTTGCAAAAAATATAAGCCAAGAGTGGAGCAATATCAATATATTTTTGACATATGGGGATATGATGGGAAAATCCTCTATGAAAACATTCTTGAAGCTACAGAGCAATTCAACTCCAATTATTGCATTGGCACAGGAGGATGTGGAAATGTTTACAAAGCTGTGTTGCCAACAGGTCAAGTAGTTGCTGTGAAGAAACTTCATCCTTCAAATGACGATGATACCATCAATTTACAAGCATTTGAAAGTGAGATTCGTGTTTTAACAGAAACACGACATCGCAATATTGTGAAGTTGTATGGTTTTTGTTCTACTACAGAGCACTCATTGCTAGTTTATGAGTTTGTAGAAAGAGGGAGCTTGAAGAAGGTTTTGAGCAACCCAGAAGAAGCAGTGAAGTTGAATTGGGATAAGAGGTTGAACATTATTAAAGGATTATCTAGAGCCTTATCTTACATGCACCATGATCATCCATCACCAATAATCCATCGTGACATTTCAAGCAATAATGTTTTGCTTGATTTGGATTATGAAGCTCATGTCTCTGACTTTGGCATTGCCAGAATTTTAAAGCCTGACTGCTCAAATTGGACATCTTTTGCAGGCACCTTCGGCTATACAGCACCAGGTATTTTATTTGATATCACATAATAAGCTCTAATAATTATCATACTATTTACATGACTAATTAGACTTTCTACAGAGTTTGCTTACACAATGCAAGCAAGTGAAAAGTGTGATGTCTACAGCTTTGGGGTGGTAGCAATGGAAGTACTCATAGGAATGCATCCAGGTGATCTGATTTCAGATTTATGGACATCAAATGGCCAACAAGTGCTGCTGAGGGATGTTATAGACCAATGCCTTCAACCTCAAAGGAAGAACCGAGTAGCTGAGCAAGTGGTTTCAACAACTAAACTAGCCTTTGCATGCCTGAATGTCAATCCCCAATTGCGACCCACCATGCAGCAGGTTTATCAGGCACTTAATAGTGGTCGACCATCTCCATTGCCAAAGCCGTATTTAATGATAAGTTTAGGAGATTTGATTGGAGATGGACATGAGGTGCAAAGTTGAGTTGCTGATGATTTGGATATTCGTCATAATTCTAGGTAATTCTAGGTATGTCTATCATTTATCCTTTCTAATATATCTTCCGTTTTCTCTCAGCAATAACTATTTCAGTGCTTTGTTTGTTGCTTTCATCATGACGCATTTATGAATCTGTATTCACAGGCTGCTATTTACTAAGGCAATGGAATTGTTGCATATGAGTATTACTGCTTGCCAGCAGGACTAGCAATAAGAGCTTGAAGAAATTAACGTTTTTGATCAACTTCAAGATGAATGGTTAATTTCATCCTTCGTTCCGTTCCGTTCCTTTCCTTGTTGGCTTCTCAGACTTGGTCGTGTTTAATTTCCATCTAGATAACATAATTTGTGTATTTCCCTTTTTCTGCTTTTCTTGTTAATTTGTGTATTTTTGTGCTTATTTCTTTTCTTCCAGCCTGGTGTAAAGGAGATTGTGTGGAGTACATGTACTCAATAAAATTACTTATTTTGCTAAAAAATATCTGTTCAGGATGAGTGATAACATTTTTTATAAATGTAGAAATTTAGTCTTTTTTGATAAGATAAATTTATTAATTTATTAAATTGAGAGTACGAGAAATATTTTAACCCTTATACAAATTAAATTTTTTTATACAATTACATGAAACATGCTTCAAATTCTATGTTTCTTGAATCATTTCCCTGCACTTTGATAAGTTGAATTCTCATATATATATATATATATATATATATATATATATATATATATATATATATATATATATATATATATATATATATATATATATATATATATATATATATATATATATATATATATATATATATATATATATATATATATATATATATATATATATATATATATATATATATATATATATATATATATATATATATATATATATATATATATATATATATATATATATATATATATATATATATATATATATATATATATATATATATATATATATATATATATATATATATATATATATATATATATATATATATATATATATATATATATATATATATATATATATATATATATATATATATATATATATATATATATATATATATATATATATATATATATATATATATATATATATATATATATATATATATATATATATATATATATATATTTGTGTTAATTTTGCGTAGGTTTTATTGATATGGCTTTAAGGTGATTTTACATTATTTTGTAAAACGACTCAATTGGAAAAATCAGAAATATTAGAAGTTTAGAACAGGATTGTCAAATAATCAGAAGACAAAGGATGAAAATGAAAGAGAGAAAGTTGAAGACACTGACTCAGATGAAAAAATAAAAGGTTTAGAGATTAAAGTGAACAAAAAGTTAAAGTAGAGAGATTGAGACTATTATTTTAGCATTGAAGAAAATTGCTTTTTGTCCCAAAGCGGACACGGACTTTTATTATATCAAGGAAATTTAAGAACGGTGTCAACAGCTCATTTATGATGTCGACCCCTTGGCCAATTTTATGCAATTTTTCGTGGATTTCGATTTTCCTTCGATGTGAGTCTCAGTTCTCACTTACAAATGCCTTTCCAATATCAAAATTAGATCTTGAAGTTTATATATATATAGAGATTAGTATATAGTTTTTATACTTTTGAAATTAATATTTCGTTTTGAATATATATATTATTATTTGTAACACTTTTAAATATTCATTACTAGAAAGCACAAGCTTACTGACGACAATTACCGACGATAAAGTGTGTCGGTAAGTAAAGGAATCACAGTGGAATATTTGCCTTTTTGACTTGAGATATGTCGGTAAATAGGGTGTCGGTATAAGTGACCTCCGTAATTCATACACCACGTTTGAAACTCAAATCACCCGAAGAGTACCAACTAGATTGAAAACCTACCTTCTGACCAATCTCATGTCGGTAAATTTCCAACGTGTAATTCAAAGGAATATAATTTAGAGGAAGTTATGAATTTTTTGATAAATATTTCACATTAATTACTGACTTGAGTAATGTTGCTAAACATATTTATATATTTATATTAAAGCTTAAAATCTATTTAAATTTTGAACTTTTCAACAAGATATATGTTGGTATATATTTTTTGGGAAGAAAAAATATGCGTAAATTACAATTTACTGGCATACATAACATTGGTAAGAGATTTTTTTAGAAAAATAATACAGTTTCTTTAATTGATACTCAAATTAATATATGTTTTTATTCAATTCAATTTACTTGTTGTCAAACGTCAACTAATTTATAACTCTCAATATTATTAAAAGCAAATATAATATCAAAATTTGACAATAAAAATAAAAAATTATTCAATGTATTTGCTCAAACTAATAATTAAAAATAATTCAAAAATAAGGAAAATAAGGCAAATATAAGATATAATTAAATAGCATAATCAAAAAATTAAAAATTATCTCAATTAAAGATATGATTTACGTAGAGCACCATTCCAAAAAAATAAAATATAAATTAATTTAATATTTACATATAAATTCAACCAAATAATACAGTCAAAATATGACCAAAATCAAATTTTAGTTTAGATGAATAAAATTTATTTACCCAATGTTTTTCTCCTAATGCTTTCTACAAAACAACATTAACAAAAGAAAATTAGAACTCCAAATAAATTGAATAGCTCAAATTAATATTTAATCAATTAGAAAAAAAAAAAAGAATAGAAGAGAAAATGAGAGGAGATGGAGAAGAAATAAACCAAATATAACATGAATATAATGTAATTATAAATAAGAAAAAAATCAGTAGCATTTGATAGAAGAGAAAGAACAAAGAAGAAGGAGGAAGGAAAAAATGAGTGGGTTATAAAATTCTAGTATTATATAGAACCTCTTACCCATGTGTATTACATTGGAATTAGATTTACCGACGTAACACTAGTAGGAATCTAATCAATTTCAATGGGAGGTGAAAAATGCAAAAATTTTGCATTTCCCTCTTTAAATTCATTGGCAAGATACATGTTACAAAGTCAAAAGTTGGTGGCTAAAAAATGAAAACATTTTACACTTTCTGCTTAGCATTTATCACTACCGATTAGATTGTTGTTGGAAAATTAGCACATGTGCCGACATGGTACATGTTTGTAAAAAAATAAAAATGATATGCTACCCCTCAGTATGTTAAAGCAGCCCAAATCAATTAGTAGTTTCTAGATTTCATTTCCTTTTCATGTTAATTTCCAAATTTGTTCAATAGATTTCTTGCATTTTAGTCATTTTAAAGGACATAAATTCTAGAAAAAATTGGGTAGAGTTTCCCCATATATATGATAAAAGTCAATTTTGTTTTGAACCTGCATTCTTAATGAAAAACTCATTTTTTGCAACTTTGCCATACTAAAAGCAATTATGCCTTTTCAATAACAACCACAAAGTATCAACCACATACCATGTCCTAAATGCATATGGTATTCAATTCATAATAAGTCCCAAAATAGTCCAAAACGTTATGCCTTTTGAAGTATGAATATTGGAGGTGAAGCAAAATATGAAAAGATATCGAAATGAAAAGTTAAAATTAATAGTTAAAAGTATTAACAGAAATTAAGGCTACCATGCAAAGTGTGTAGATAATGTAGCAGAAAACATAACTAAGGAGCCTAATAGTTTGAGTCAAAATAGGATGGTAAACATTGTCTTGAGGTTGAAGGTGCTAATAATATCTGGGCAGTATGGGAAAGGTCTAGGCGAAATCAGTGGAATAGGAGAAAGGTGTATTCAGGTGGAGACCTGAGCCTTGGTTGTGTTGTGGTTGTGGTGGAGCAAATAGATGATGACATGCTTGGGGGCATATGTCATAAGCAGTGAGAGCTGTTGCAACAAAATGTGTAATTGTCTTACTCATGTTATTTTGGACCTATGTCATCTGAGTCAGTTGTTGTTGCATTAGAGTTATTTGTTGACGTTTCCTTTCTAACTATTCATTTTGTTTAGCCACAAGCTCATTCTGATGTGCTTGTTCCTCGACAAAGTCAATCATCATCATCACAGTCATCAAGGTGTCTTGGGGTTGTCTGTTCTTGTAAGTAAATCTAACATCCTTTGGATTTACTTGTAACCCAATGCCCAGCATGAACTTTTAAGAGCAACATCCAACAATATCACCCCATGCCTAGTTATCTATGTGTGGCCACAAATTGACGTCAGGGCCATACATCTCTGTGTACTCTGTGACATAAGTATTCTAAAAAAAATAAATAAATAAATAACAATATTGTTAAAGGCAGTTTAAAAATAATCTATAAAAAAATTTACTAAACAATTTTAGATTAATTAAATAAAATTTGTAGGCTCTTCTAAATATAAATTTTATGATAACTTATATATTATATATATTTACATGTTGGTACTTTACTTTTTATTTATTCACATGAGCTCTTGCCCCCTTGGCACCTTCTTTCTGAAGGTGTGTGTCTCTTTGTATTTCTTTTGATGGGGAGGTTGCACACCACCTCTAAATTCAGTTTGTATTCTAAATATTTATAATGCAGTATATTGATTAGTATAAATTAACACATAATTTATCGTTAAATAAAATCTAATATATTTATTTTTTTATTAATTATGCTTGATTACCATCTACATCTCATGGATGCCAAAACTAATAAACCTAGTGGTGTGAATCATCCTCTCCGTAGACCTCCTATTCTTTGCTCCCCTTTCACTAAGCAGCTTGAATTCATTAAAGTTCCAATATTCCTACAGTTGGACTATAGATGAATTGGAATCCAACATGGGATGTAAGTTGGGTCCTCCTCCCATTTCAATCTCTTGTCCCTAATCTTATCACTCCACCTATGTTTAATAGAATTTAAGAATGCATTGCGTATATGTAGATTATCTACAAAAGCCCACTGGTAAAGTGCCTATGAAACAAGAAATAAATAAAATTAGATTTATGAAAAATAAATAATTTATTTTTATTATATAAATTGCTAGATCCATTAATTTGATTAGATTTGCTAAAATTAAATCTTACTTTGAAACATTTGCAAATTTTGTTGACCTTCCTATGGGGGACATGCTCAAATGTGAAGTATGGACCCTCAAAACATGACTTCCATAAGGAAGTGATAGCTCGAGGTAAGGTCAGATAAGCAAATCACAACTCGTTATGAGTCAATTGAATCCATGTCCTAGCCTATCTACTCTCCAAAGGTCATAGGCACTTCATATTCCTACCATGTCCTTTTTTGCCCTTTGAGGATGAATGTGCCTCCCCATCATGATCTGATGTAGAATGATCCACATGCTCCATGAACAGATCAGGTATTATCTAATTCGCATCAAGCGTTACTCCACCACCAATCAACACTTGTGGTTGATCATGACTGTGCTACCCCTAGGCACCCAAGGAAGAGGATCTCCTCTTAGCAGAACTTGTAGGATTACCAGATATCCTAAAAAAGGAATAATAAAATAGTTGTTAATATATATATATAACAAATAATAAATTTAGAACAATCATGCAATGATACTATTTTAAATGAAAAAAAAAAACATAACTTAATAAAATAATACATATAAGGCAAAGAAATTTTAATACATATATTTCATGAGTAATAATGTTGTATATTACGTTGATAAGAAATGTTTTAGTCAATCATCACTATTATCCTCCTCAATACTATCACTATTTTCTAAGGTTCTAAACCTTTTTCTTCTCCATTGTCCTCATCTTCTTCTGCTGTATCAACATCAACCTCAACTTTTGCAACACCTTTTGCATGTAGTTGGAGTGATTGGTATGTAAAAATATATAGCCAATGAAATGCCTTGCATTATGGGCTGGTCATTATCTTCAAAAATGTCATCAATGTTTGCCAAAGATGAAGCAAATGAGGTGTAAATTAGATGTTTAGATTTTATTTTACATGCCGCCAACCATCCTCGAGTAGTTCTATCTGTGGCTAAAAATGGAGTGTGATAAACTTGTTGTGCCTAATTAACAAGGCAAAAGGGCTCTCTCATTGAAAGTGATGAACTAAATTTATATACATATTAATAGGGAATTTTTACTTTGATTTTATTGATATTTGAATGAGTTTTATAGGATTTTGTTTGATTTTACATGGTTTTCATTCTTTGTGTAGGAAAAGATTTAATTGGAAGAAATCCTATTTTTTAGAAATAAATTGAAGAGATCAGAGACTTGAGGATCAACTTGTGTAGAATCCAAAAGTCAGAACCAAATCTGCTATTTTACCATTGAAGAAATTGCAAAAGGGGACCATAACCCGACACGGGTGTAGTGTCGACACATGATCGGGGTATCGACACCATGCGCTAAACGTCCAGAATCAGATTCTGTTTCCTATTTTGTGTCAACACGTCATCCGAAGTGTCAGCACCATTATGGTAAAGTCAATGACTTAGTACCTCATATTTTGGTTAGGTTTAAATTAATTGTTATTTTTCTTTTATTATTTTTTTAGTTAAACTTTCTTCCCATTTGGTTGTTCAAATAAATTTGGATTAATTATTTTGGTACTTAGTTAAACACAATCCTTGTGAGTTCGACACTTTTCTTATCATTATATTACTTGGAACGACTAATACACTTGTTAGGGTGATTTTTGTGCATCAGAAAGTTTGAACGTTGGATTGACATATATTATTATCTTACATATATATTATGTAATTTAAATTTAAATTTTAAATTTTTAAATTTTAATAAAAATTTATTATTAAATTATTTAAATTATTAACAATAACTTATAAATTTCCCCCTAAACTTTTATAGTTGAATAAGTTAATAGAGTTTGACCATTTTAACTATCTATTTTTGTGTTTTAGGTCCCACAATTTATAAATAATATCATTGTAATCCTTTATTTCAGCAGTGGTGCGTGAGGATCTTTCCACTTGTTTGTGGTAAAAGCCTTCTTTTAGTCCCTCACCTTATCAATTTTGAAGGTTTTAACCCATCACTTTATATTATGATACTTTAAACTCCTTACTTTACTAAATTTATAGATTTTAACCATTTATTTTGTACTATAACACTTTTAATTCATCACCTATTAAAATTAAAGAAAATAATCTTCACTTTGTAATATTTTGTTAGTTCTATTAACTAACTATTAACTCTATTAATTGACTGTTAATTGATAAAAACCTTATTTAAGTTAACAAAATTAACAAAATTAATTTAATAATATTTCATTAATTCTGTTAAATGATTATTAGTTAACTATTAGTTGACAAAAATCTACTTTCAGTTAACAGAACTAATAGTCAATATAAAATAAAAATGATTTTCTTTGATTTTAATAAGTGAAGGATTAAAACCTATAAATCTAATAAAATAAAGAGCTAAAAATGTTATATTATAAGATAAAGGATTAAAAATTTCAAACTTAATAAGGTGAGAGGTTTAAAATAGGTTTTACCCTTATTTGGCGTAGCGGCATAAGGCGAATAGTTATAGCCACATTTGTTCAGTTATGCAGACTTTTACATTTAGCCTTTTAAAATATTAATATATTAAAGGTGGATACGTCATTTACTTTTATATATATATATACTATAAGTACTGTGACCCTCATCTGTTAATATCATTGAATCATTGATGATCATTCACCGTTGTATATATACTATCAGATCCGTTGTCCGGCACCAAATCTTCTATCTAGGTTTAGTTCTTTGTTTTTCTTCCTTTTCTTTACATTATGTTCATTCCTTGTTATTGCTTTTGTTCCTTTCCTCTATGTTCTCTTCACCTCCTATCATAACTATTATCTCATCAAATACACCGACTAAGTGCCTGTTTGGTGATGCTGGTCTTTTTTTATGAAAGTTCTTTTAAAAAAAATCAGTTGTAAATGTTTTTTTTTTTAGAAGTAAAAAATGTTTGGTAAAAGTTGACAGATGGACTTTTAAAGTGTAAAAGTGTTTGATAAATTTATTTATAAAAGATCTTTTAATTTAATGTAATGATAAAATAATTGAAATAGACATTTTGTACTTTAATCGCCACTCTCATTCTATTTTTCTATATTTTTATATAACTTGAATTTCATAATTAGTTTAAGATTGATGATTAAAAATTAATTATTTATATTTTAAAACATAAATATTA